ACAAAGGAGGAGGCTGCAATGCTTGGTAAGAAATGTACGCATTATCCTGCCCATGTAATTGTAACCCCTCTGTACAGTATGTTCACAAATAAATTTAAAAAAAAATAAAAAAAGAAAGATATCCAAATCCAATGACATGTGTATGCCAACACAGTTGCAATCCACAGCCAGCCCCATCCATTTCACTCATAGCATGAATAGAATGTGACCGATTCCTTAAATCTCCTAGGTTAGAACCACTACTGCTTAACAGGCACCTATCTCTTCATCTGGTTTCATACATATTTCAGAATGGAAAGTTGCCAATCAGGCCAAGCACAGTGGCTTATACCTGTAATCCCAACTACTTAAGAAGCAGAGATCAAGAAGATAGTGGTTGGAGACTAGTCTGGGCATCTCAGCTAATAGGCTGGGGGTAGTGGCACCTAGTCTTGTCTGAGAACCTAGTCATCAGAAACTAGGCTCCTATGGCTGGGAAGGTGACTCAGTGGTAGAGTGCTCGCCTTGCATGCATGAGGCCCTGGATTTGATTCCTCAGCACCACATAAGCAGAAAAAGCTGGAAGTGGCGCTGTGGCTCAAGTGGTAGAGCACTAGCCTTGAGCTGAAGAGCTCAGGGACAGCACCCAGGCCCAGAGTTCAGACCCCACAACTGACAAAAAGAAAAAGAAAAGAAAAAAAGAAAGGAAAAAAAAAGAAACTAGGCTCCTGGCAAGACCCTACTTTTAAAAAAAAGCAAATAGGGGCTGGGCTAGGGTGTAGCTTATGTGGTAGAGCACTTTCCTAGCAAGCTTGAAGCCCTGTAGTATTTTGCATGCTACAGGGAATAGAAGAAAGCCTGATCCTATCTTTTATTCACTAAAACTCCTGCTAAAATAGCAAAATTTAGTAGATTATTTAGTAACTCCCCAAATCAGCCTTACCTTCCTCAGAAAGATAAATAACAAGTTTGTATGATTCTGAAACTAACATTTAGAGCAAATACATGACCCCTGTAGGGACTCAAGTGGTGTTAATTTTGGCTCAAATCAATGAATATATTAGGCCTTTGTAGGACAAGTTTGGATTTCAATGGACAGAAATTCTATAAATGCTATTTATCCATCTAACAAATAGTCTGGCAGGAAAGCTCTAACATAATCAAGGTCATCAATGTGGTCATCATTACTATTAATTATTCCCTACTGTGGGAAAATTTCAAGTTTCATCACATATCATCTTTAAGCACACAAAATACATTAGCTATCTCACTTGAGGTTAAAAAAAAGACAATAAAACCTTCTAGAAGACTTACAAATACATTTCACACATTAACACATTTTTATTCATTCTACTGAATTTCTCAGCAAGATTTCAAAGCACCTGTGTATGCTAGAATAGGGTCAAAATTGAAATTAGGTAGATTAAATGAAGTAACCCATGAATTTTTTGAACAAATCCATAATAGATCGTATGTCCTTCTCCTAATACTTACCTGCATGAACAAGGTTCCAAGTTTGATCTCCAGAACCATAAAAAATCTTGAAGATTAATATCCAGACATGAGGTCAAATTTAACTTCATTATATTCCTTCCTAATAGGCTTAAACTTGGGCAGATCACAAAATCTGAGTCCTATCTAGTTTGTAATTTACTACACCTGGAAAAGGGAAGGACAAGGAAAGGGAGAAGGGCAGAGGTGTATAATTCTATAATCCTTAAAGATTATACACAAAGATTCTAGGATCAAAACAACACACATATCTACTGCAGTGCTCCAAGTCATGTACAAGTAGTTCTTCCTAACCATGAAGTGTTTTTAGTGCCTTCTCAACAAAAGCACATTCCTAGCTAGGTGCTGGTGGCTCATGTCTATACTACTAGCTATTGGGAGGATGAGAACAGGCAGTTTGAGGTTCAAGCCAGCCCATGAAGGAAAATTCTTCATACCTTTCTCAATCAATAGCTAGGCACTTGCCCTACTTTTGTGGAAGGCCAAGATTGGGACCATCAAAGTTCCAGGCTAATCTAGGCAGAAAAGTGTAGTCTCAGAAGCATTTGTCTGCCAATCCCAGCCTAATATAGGTAGGTTGTGATCCAGTACAAAAATAAGGCTGCAGGTATGGCTCAATGGTAGAGTCCTGCCTAAGAAGAACAAGACCCCAAGTTTAAACTCCAGTACCCAAAATTTTAGAGTACCCTGATACACTACCAAAAATGCCTCTGCATTTTTGCCCCTTAAAAGGTACTTCTCTTAAGCCACAGTGCAAAAAATAATGGACTAAGATAATTAGGCTCACTCAAGCCTTTCTCTATGAAACCAGGTAGATTGAAGATGGATAACTAGGAATAACCAGCATTACTAACTTCCTAAGAAGTTAAAACAGAATTTCAAGTGTTCTCCTAGACTCTTACTAGTTAAGCCCACTGCATTTGTTCAAGTTCAAAGCCTGCTAAAAGTAATGTTAAGAGTGTTAAATTTATAGTAATTTACACATTTAAGAAGGGGATTTATGATTGTTTTAAACTTTTGTATGCCTGTGGATGAAATGCTAAGTTTCAAAAAAAAAAATCAGAATCATGGATTCAATATCCACTAGACTTAAAATCCCTAATAACCTTGGTCAGCACTGAAAATCATGTTGAAGAATAGAAGCAATGAACCTTCATTTTGTTTCATCTAATAAATTGGTTTTTAAGGTTTACCTTCTATGACTAAATGTGGAGTACTAAAGGCTTGCTGAATCTTCATGGGGACCCTTAGTGAACTGTGTTGCTCAAGCCAAATAACCATAAGAAAGCTACTGATATTCTTACAATGAATTTTCTCACCTAGGGAGTTTTTGGTTTTTTTTTTTTTGGGGGGGGTCCGGTCATGGGGCCTGAACTCTGGGCCTGGGTGCTGTCCCTCAGCTCTTCAGCTCAAGGCTAGCGCTCTACCACTTGAGCCATAGCACCACTTCCGGCTTTTTTCTTTTTGCTTATGTGGTGCTGAGGAATCAAACCCAGGGCCTCAGGCATGCAAGGCAAGTGCTCTACCACTGAGCCACCTTCCCAGCCCTGGTAAACGTACTTTCATTAAACTGAGATTGAATAAGAAACACACATAACCCAATATCCTACACTTACATATCATACCACCAAGTTACACTTGGCTTAATTTACTGGGATCCATGATGAAGGTCTAAAAAAACTCTAGATTTTTGAGTAAAAAAGGGATCTATTGCTGTCAAAATTCAATGGGAAGCCAGGTGCTAGCGGCTCACATCTATAAACCTAGCTATTCAGGAGATCCAAGGATCTCCACTAGAAGCCAGTTCAAGACTAAGTCTTCAATTAACCAGCAAAAAAGCTGTACTTGGCGTATCTGCGAATGGCAGTGCATGGCCATGAATTCAGGCCCCAATATATGAAGAAGAAAAAAATTCAAGGAGAAATAAATGTTACTGTGTTTCCAGTTTCCATCTAACTTTTCTATTCAACAGCTTAGTTTTCAATTCCTTCCTCAATTCTAAAAGGATTAAGACGATTTTTAAAAATTAGAATTAGAAATAAAGTAGTAAGACTAAAATGGAACTTGAAATTTGTTTAAAAGTCTCAGGCTCACACACTGCTTCTGCCAACACTGGACTTCCCAGTTATCTAGTTAGATCAAACACATTCCTTCTTCTTTTAAAGATGAAAACAAAATAGCTATACCATTTATTACTGAAAAGCTGTGAATTTTGTAATAAATGCACTAATAGTTCCTACTTTAATATGCTTAGTTTTTAAAACTCATTTGCCTACATATAAGGTTATGTAAAAAGAAAAGAAACAGATATGGTGGGAGAGTATTTAATAAATGGTGTTGAGACAATTAACTACCCATTTTGATTAAAAATAAAATTAGATCCTTAAATCTTGTACCATATAGAAAAATACATATATTATGATGGATCAAAGAGTGAAAAATGAAAATGTAAATAACCAAAATTCTACACATAATTTTTGGGGCTCATGAGCTCTGTAAAAGCTATCCATGGATCTTAGATCTTCATATAGATGAAGAGTTCATTATAACCTCTACTAAAATCTCAAGGCCAGATAAATTTTCAATATTAGGTCACATGCAACAAATGAAGATGAACACATTAACTCATTATTATAACTTTATAAAATCTCCAAACTGCAACTAGAAACAGAAGCATGTCAATACAAATGGACAATGACTTAAAAAAAATACATCAATTTAAATAAGTTTGAGTGCATACTGTACAAGTGTATCCATGTCTATTAGCCTTTCAAAAATATAAAATCAGCTAAATCTATAGATCTTGAAAGTCAGCATGTTCAATGTTATTCTCAAACTTGATTAAAATAAATACAAGTTATGTTTAATGTAACATACTTCAACATCTAAACATATGATAAGAATTCTATATTAAAATGCAATACCTTCACCTGCATTAATCTCACACAATGGAAAAATACTTGCAGATAATTAGCATTAAGAATGCAAATATATTTTACTGTGGAAGAAAAATTATAGTAATACAGTTAGAATCATATATGTACGTAATCTACAATGAAACTGTAGACAGTCTACATTATGATACTCTATCTTAAAATGAAAACAATATTTAAGTTTACAACCAATTTACTTGAGGCAAAATATGTTTATTACAGAACAGGATCTTAAAGTAAGCAAGGCAACAATAATTAGATCAACCATCTTAGATATTTTTTTTAATTGTAGCTTCAAAACTGTAATAAAGATGAACATAAATTCTAACATGCTCTTCTCTTCTTATAAATGGGATGATGTAGAAAAGCAAAGCTTCAGAGTATAGGGATTGGAACCATCTGTAAAAAAATAAATAGTTTAATCACTTCAAACTTTCAAGATCACCTTGAATTGGCAGAGTAAATTATTTCATTATTTTACAAGTTTAGAAACAAAAATTCAAAGGAGAATTTATCTGTACCATAAGGGGAAGTCTGTACAATAAAGGGAAGATTAGCTACTAATTTACTAGAAAGTGAGTTCCATCAAACAGGCACTTTGTTCACTGCTACATTCCTAGTGTTGAAAGCTTTAAGAGATATTCTTTAGTGAGTTCATATTACAAATAAAAAAAATACCATAATTAAGTAGCAAAGTCCACTTTGCAGAAAATACTACATATATTTATATAAAAGCCAATTAAAAGACAAGAAGAGGGGAAAATTACAAAATACATTAAGATATCTATGATTTCCAGAACATTGGTTTTTGCAGGCTAGAAATCTAACCCAAAGCCTCACATGTGATCTAGCAACTAAGCTATAACCCCAGCCCAAAGGTTTGCTGTTTTAAGCTTCTAAATTTTATGGTAAATATACAGCAATGGGTAGCTAATACAAGGATGACATAGATTGTGGGATTCTATACTTTTTTTTTTGTCCGTCGTGGGGACTGAACTCTGGGCCTGGGTACTGTTTGTCCCTTAGCTCTTCAGCTCAAGGCTAGAGCTCTACCACTTGAGCCACAGTGCCACTTCTGCTTTTTTCTGCTTATGTGGTGCTGAGGAATCAAACCCAGGGCCTCATGCATGCAAGGCAAGCACTCTACCACTGAGCCACCTTCCCAGCCCTGCATTCTATATTTTTTGCCTCTCTGTATTAAAAATCTTGGGTGCCAGGTACCAGTGGTTCACACCTATAATCCTAGATATTCAGGAGGCTGAGATCTAAGGATCATAGTTCAAAGCCAGCCCAGGAAGGAAAGTCTGTGACTCTTATCTCCATATAACCACCAGAAAATTGCAATTGGCTCTGTGGCTCAAAGTGGCAGAGTGCTCTAGCCTTAAGCAAAAAAGCTCAGGGACAGTGTTCAGGCATTGAGTCCAAGCCCCACAACCAAAAACAAAACAACATCAACAAAAATTCTTCACAGTACAGCGTACACATAGAATGTGCAAGGCTAATATCCTATATTCCCTCCAAAATGCTTTCAAATTATTGTCTCATATTTCTGAAGATAAAGTCCCATTGAATAATTATGAGACACTCAGACACTCAGTATTGTACTTACTCGGGACTCTGATCTGGTAGTGATTAAGTGCAGTAAGAGCTTCTACTGCATCCGTTTTACATTCCCATTCTAATAGTCCGGAAAGTGTTTTGGCAGAGGCTAAAACAAAACATATGCCCAATTGTTATTTGCTTATCCTCAATTTATCTAGAAAACTTTTTAAAAAGTGAATGTTCACTTACGTTTTGCATCAAACACTTTATATTTGATAAATGTAAGAACTTCATGGTCATTACACAACTGTCAAAGAAAAGCAAAACTTCATTAAAAATATGGTCCAAATAAATAGCCTACCTTCACTTTTCTGAGTACAAAATCAACTGAATCCAATGTGTATTTTCAGGTTAGCATAAATTTCTTTGAGAAAAGAAATTTTTAGGGCTGAGAATGTGGCTTAGTGGTAGAGTGCTTGCCTAGCATGCACAAAGCCCTGGGTTCAATTCCTCAATACCACATTAACAGAAAAAGCCAGAAACAGTGCTGTGACTCCAGTGGTAGAGTGCTAGTCATGAGCAAAAAGAAGTTCAGGGGCAGGGCCCAAGCCCTGGGACTGGCATAAAAAAAAAATTCTAATAATGAAACTTCTAAACTATGTAAATACTTTCATGCTTTACAATAAAAACACAGGTTTTTTTTTTCATATATTCTCAGGGTTGGCCTGAGAATATATATTTAGTATCTAAGGCAAGGAGTTCCAGAAAATCAACTATTTTCTGAAGCATCCCTATATATGGAAAATGACAAAGATGGATGAAGTTTTGTGTGAAGCTTAAAGTTATGGTAAAAATAAGTTTCTGAATGCAAATAAGTTTCTGAATGCAGAAGTAAAGGTATCTCATTATCATTCCAACTCTTGGACTGAGCCACAAACCAAGAAAGATTCATGAAGAACATAATCCAGAAAATGTAATAGTGAAAGAATGGCTATCAAAAAGTGTCAAATAAACAAAATACTAGTAATATCAAAAGTACCAAATGTAGTAGCACACACCTACAATCCCAGAACTATGAGGGCGGAGACAGGATTGAAAGTTTAAGGCCAGCCTAATTATACAGTAAGACCCTGTTATACCCACACATATATACACCCACACCTACCCCACCCTCCACACAAAACAAACATAGGCATTCAAAAGATACAAATCTTAAAATAGGAAACATCAATACACTACAGATTTCAGCACCTACCTTGGTGAAAGTCTCTTCTGTGACGCACAGTGGAACATTGTAATAATGTAGCACACACGAGGGTGGTTGGATTATATTCTTAGATGCTTGGCCAGCACTTGTAAAGCGATTATTTTTGCTCATGGCAAAATCTTTGTAGCTACTTGTACCATCCTCTAGCTCAAATATTTGACTTGGAACAACTGAATGTTGCTTAGACACACTGAAAATCGGAAAGGAAAAACATACACAATATATTGTTAGGTAAAAAACAAAATGCTTGCATGAATCTTAACTAAAGAAGGCATCTATGGCTATTTAAATAAAGTATATTCATTTACTGTATCCTTGGGGATATCCTTTTGATATTCATGGGTATCAAAAATGCAAGTCCCTTATATAAGTGGCATACAATCTACATATAATCTATGCATGACCCCTTATGTTCTTTAAACCATAACTAGATTGCTTGTAACATAAAGTGCTATGTAAATGCTATAAGTAGTTGTTAACTATATTTAGAAAATAATAGTATGAAGAAAGTATGTACACCTTTTTGAGTTTTTTTGTTGTTGCTGTTGTTTTTTGTTTTTTTCCAGATGGTCATGGAGCTTGAACTCAGAGTCTAGGTGCTATCCCTTAGCTCTTTTGTTCAAGGCTGGAGCTCTACCACTTTGAGCCACCAGGGCTGGCTTTGAACTGAAATCCTCAGATCTCAGCCTGAGTAGCTAGGATTATAGGCATGAGTCACCAACACCTGGCTCCCTGAACATTTTTCATCTATGGTTAGTTAAACCCATAAGTATAGTTCCACACATATAACAGACTATTTGTATTTGGGTTATTTGTATCTGGTTTATAATCAATCATTCCTATAGTTTAAGGCATCAAGTGGAAAGAAAAATCCATTCTTATGTTTGAAAACATTTTGTGTTCAGTGGCTAGAATTAAGGTTTTTGGGTACTGTCTCTAAGCTTTTTCTTTTTTTCTTTTTCTTTTTTTGGTTGTGGGGCTTGAACTCTGGGCCTGAGCGCTGTCCCTCAGCTCTTCAGCTCTAGGCTAGCGCTCTACCACTTGAGCTACAGCGCCACTTCTGGTTTTCTAGTGGTTTATTGGAGATAAAGAGTTTCACGGACTTTCCTGCTGGGGCTGGCTTTGAACCTCGATCCTCAGATCTCAGCCTCCTGAGTAGCTAGGATTATAGGTGTGAGCCACCGGCGCCTGGCTCTAAGCTTTTTCTTGTCTTTCTTGTTTTTTTCTCAAGTGTAGTGCTCTAGCAGTTGAACACAGCTCCACTTCTGGCTTTTTTTGGTGGTTAATTTGAGTTAAAAGAGTCTAATGGATTTTCCTGCCCAGTAGCTAGGATTTCAGCATGAGCCACCAGCCCAAGGCTCATGTTAGAAAACATTTAAAATAAATACTTGTCTATTTTAACATGCTGTTGTAATATCACAGAAGTAAAACCTAAGGATATGTGGGTAAATTCTGAATTACATTAACTCTAAAATTTGTCTATAATATCAAAACTACTACTGCTTATTTCAGATTCTGCTATTATAAAATAGTCTAAAATTGAAATTAATGTCTTTAATAAAAGAACAAAAATTTTAAATATTTTTAAATAATCACTTAAGATAATTACCAAACATTAAGTCTTTTCCCAAATAATTTAACATTATTAAGATGTGTAACAGCTCTTTCTACAGCATACTCATCACCCATTTCTACCAGTGCTGTGCCAGGAATAGTCTTCATAAATTTTACCTGTTAACACAAAATCCCAAAAGAGACCATTTAATTACCTTTCATAGAAACAATTTCTAAAAGACAATATGATTTAAGTGGTAAAAGTAAAAAACAGAAGATCACCCAGATCTGCCATGAATAAGATACTCATCAAAATTTAATAAGGTTTTAAAAAAAAGACTATAACTATATTCTATATTCGGTGCACACTGAAGATGAGCACTGGCTTATCCTGGCTCTTTTAATTGTTAATTATATAATTTGGAGACAATTTACTTGAGATACTAGCTAACCCTATAAAATGTGAGTGACTAGATTTTTTTCACTATCCATTTTTTCAATAAACAAGTATCTAAAATATTTTGATAAGCACTATGTTAGGTACTAGAGATTTAGTAATAAGCATACTCTTCCAAGTACATGGTCAAAAAATTTTAAGTAAATAAATAATAACTTCAAACTGATTAGAGGTTTCTGTTAAGACAAGATGCTCTGTAGTAAATAGCACAAAATAATACTGAGGCAGCATGGTCAGTAGGGCAAGTGCAAGATGTGGGCAGTTTAAAAATAAGTAATGAATTTTCATGTCCTTAGGCAAAGGTCATACTTATTCTCTCACACTATTTTAATTATAGAATAATACTGTAAGAATTGGATGAGATCATTGGTTAAATCATTTAGCCTTGTCCTTACAAAGTCCTCAGGTAAACTAGTAAGTACAACCAACATGATACCAACTAGCTTCTTACATGTCAATCTCAAGAGAATACCAAAAACCTAAGACAAATCCTTATTGCTATCACTTCCATTTCTCATTGTAATAGGATATCTAAGTACTTTGCACTATACGTACACTTAAAACTTAATAGTACCAGAATTTTCAACTATACTTGAAGTCAATTTATCTTTATGGGCAAATTAGCTTAATCAGTAATATTTAACAAATCTAATAGTGACTAAATTTACAATATGTAATTCCCTCTAATATATGTAAATCTCCCTTAAAAAGTTAGGAAAAATTAACTCTCTCTCCATAGGTAAGTATAGATCTTTATCTAGATTTTTATATAGATCTATATCTCTACATCTTTATTATATATAATATATATTATTTTTATTATATACAGATATGCCTATATCTTCAAGATAGACATATAGATCTATATCTCTATACCTTTATTATCTATAATACATATTATTTTTATTAAATATCTGAAATGATTAAAAACAAGGTGATAGTGAAACAGATTAGAATTAGTCATAAGTTGTATTGGTTTTTTGTGGTTTATTTTTTGGTGCCTCTACTGTGCTTGAGCTCAGGGCCCTGCACTTTCAGTTTGTTTTTTTTCCCTGAAGGTTGGCATATCATCTCTTGAGCCACAACTTCACTTGCACTTTTTTGCTGGTTAACTTAGAGATAAGTTTCATGGATTTTTTTTGTCCAGGTTGGCTTTGAACTGGATCCTCAGATCTCAGCTAGGATTATAGCAACTAGTGCTTGGCTTTGGAAAATTTAAATTTTATTAGAAAAACAAAAATATTTGGGGTTTTAAATCACCTGAAACAGTTCATAACATAAAAGACAAAAAACTACTGAAGATATCAAACTGCCTAAGTCTGATTTTATAGAAAGAGCATAAAGAAAAAAGACGCTATGTAATGAAAAGTTAAAATAAACATTAAAGCCTAGTTACCAAATATTGTTTTCAGACCTCAACTAAATACCTAGCTCTAAGATAAATACCTACGCCTTTTGATCTACTTAATCCAATGTTGTAAATCTATCTCACATATTCTTGGGCCAGTATATAAGAAAAACAATTCCAAATTTTATCCTCAGACCAAACAACATTTTCTTTTCTTCTTCTTTAATACAATAGTTTCAGAGTTCATAAAAGCTGTTACTACTTCAAGGAGACTTTAGAATTAATAAACTAAGAAGAACGCCAACTTTCCAGGCCATGTTTGCCCTCCCATATTCTAGTGACTCAAATACTTGTATTCTGGTTTTTATCACTGTGAAAAAGAACACTAAAATTTAAAATAAGAAAAAGTAATATTACAGTACTAACATTCTACCTAAGCAGGTCAGTTTCAAACACTGACTGAGCTAACAAAAAAAAAAAAAAAAAAGCAAATTGTTCCTCAGATGGTAACTTACAGCATTTTCAAGACTTCTGGCAAAGCTGTGTGTGTGTGTGTGTGTGTGTGTGTGTGTGTGTGTGTTCTGTGTGTGTGTGTGTTCTACTTTGGGTCATCTTAAATATTTTTATCACAATCTATACTAAATACTTATCAAAAATATAATCTCTGAAGTTCAGGCATATTGGATTTTTAGTTTATATGGATCACAATACTGAAGTAAGTTAGATATTCCCAATACAAGAAGATGTATGTCTGCATCCTTTTCAGAATCACTAACAGACATTCTAGCAAAATAAACCTTACCTTTTCAATATTTCCATATAAGCAGAATAAGTTGAAAACTCTTGAACAATTCATTTTTAGTTGATGTAATCCACTAACCATTACAACTGAACCAGAGGGATTTCCTCCATGCATGTAAGAGGAAGATGCTTGTGGTAATGGATATGCAACAAGCTCAGGTGTATCTCGAGAGCCCATTCTGTAGCGACTCGGTAAAGGCAACAATGGACTATGGGATCCTACAAAAATGACCAAAGTAAATTAAGTAAGTAAATAAATAAGAAGAATACATGCACATACCTCCATTTGCAAATACTTTGGTAGGTTAATTTCAACATATATAAAAACTTTTTTTTCCTCGGTATTGGAGATTGAACCCAGGGCTTTGTGCATAAGGCAAGTACTTTACCAACCAATCCTCTAACCCCAATCCTCCCCAACCAAAATTAAACTCAGTATTAGCTAGGTTGATGTACAGACAAAACCCTTCAAGTATATGAATAGCTAAGCATAAAATAAAATCAGTATTTATTTGTATCAGATACAACATTGACCGTACCTATATACACCATGCTAAAAGTTATTTTTGTTACTTAATTAACTAATTAATTTGGGGGGCATTGTCCCTGAGGTTTTATGCTCAAGCTAGTGCTCTGCCACTAGAATAATAGCTACACTTCCAGCTTTTTTGTGGTTAATTGAAGATAAGAGTCTCATGGACTTTCCTGCCTGGCTGGCTTTGAGCCATAATCCTCAGATCTTCACCTCCTAAGTAGCTAGGATTATAGATGTGAGCCACCAATGCCCAGCTTAAAAAAAAATTTAAAAACAGTAACTGAACAAAAACACTGTTAGATTAGGCTACAGAGCTGCAAGGGAGCCAATCCAACATTCTGGGCAATATATAAGTTATTCTATAATCTTACTATACACATAAATATTAGCTAAAATTTTTAAAACTGCTTTTTTTAGAGGAATAATATACAACAAAATCTAGAAAGCTATCTCTATACAAATAGAACAAATATCTTGAATATACTGTAATGTACTCTTAGGTTAGTTTTTATTCTTCTAACTTAGGAAAACTAAAACCTATTAATATGCCTCATCTATACATAGCTGTCTTACTATCTCCAATCTCCATTTTTTTGAAACATCAAGAAAACAGCAGGAAATGGTTCAATATCTACAACTATTCCCCCCCACACTCACTCACTCACTCACTCACACACACACACACACACTTCAAATCCTCATTAAGAGTCAATTCACTAACTTTAAAGTAGTTTTAAACAACTGCATATGATTTTCCCATCTTTGACTTGGGAGTGGGGCTGGGGGTGGGGAGAGGTATACCCCCCAGTGCTTGAACTCAGGGACTGAGTGCTTTCAGGGACTCAGAGCTTTTGTGCTTAAGGCTAACACTCTACCACACTTGAGCAACAGATCCACCTCCAGCTTTTTTGGTGGCTAATTGAAGCTAAGAGTCTTATAGACTTCTTGCCCAGGCTGGCTTTGAACCATGATCCGCAGATCTCATTTTCCTGAGCAACTAGGATTACAGACATGAGCCACTAGCACCCAGCCCATCTATGACATTTTCAATCTTGAACTTTTCTCCAAGTTTTTTAACAAACAAAAGTAAAGTACGGAAGAGAAAATAAGTGTGGAAAACTGTGATACTCAAAATTAGGCACAGGACATCTTTACAGCATTAGAAGAAAGGTAGAAGTTTAGAAACTCCAAGAGGTTTAGAAACACACCTTATAAATCATAGGTCCTTCTGAATTTATGAATACTGAAGCACAACCTAGGATGCATGCAAAAGTCTTCATGATGTGCAGTCAATCAATAACAAAAAAATTTAAACCCAAGCCCTTTTCTCTTTTTTAAGGAAGAATATAGCATTACTGATGCTCATTTTTATATAGGACTAAGGGATAGCTGTCATCTACCAAGTATTAGTATTCATTACATGCTATCAGGGATTACAGTGAATTCCAATTATTAGTATTTTAATAAAGCTTCCATTTATAGTAACACAACACTATTGAGCACATACCAATACATGGAATTCCTGCAATTTTGGAGGAATATTTATCAATACATCATCACCAACTACCTTCATTTTAATGCTTTTTTTGTAATTCAAGATGTTGGAGATGGTACCCAGGGCCTCCCACACACTAAGCAAGCACTCTAACACTGAGCTACCCCCAAGCTTGCAACTGCTCTTCTTACCAACAACTGGTAGTTCATCAAAACAGTTTAACTTGGTGAAGTAAACTGTTAGAAATCATACATATCTTGGTCTCTAATTTAAGCTGTTTTACATCTACCTAAGTTCCAACACCATGGTTTAAATCCTGATTGTAAAAGTACATCTTCATATTACATTGCCTACCAAACACTAACATTTGCTTACGTGCAGTAATGATACACACAATAATCACATTTTTTACCCCCATGGGAAGTCGAAAGATCTGTAGTACACTCATAGTACATTCACTCTGCTAAAGTTGTCTAAGGTCCAAAAACATTTGATACTAACCACTCAGTGCAAAGGTATACTTGTAATTATGACTTGACTACCAAGATTAAATGATCTACACTAAACTGTCACCTAAATTGTTTAAGATATGAAAATTTAGAAGTCTTCTGAAAATTCTCTGTCTTATTGCTTCTGTAAGTGAAAAAGACTTGATGTTTAAAAGAAAATGCTTCAGGTATTAAAAACTCTATTTGCATAGGGAAACAGTACATATATGGCATTACTAATGTTTTGAAAACATTTCCTGTATTTCAAACATAAACATCTTTGGTCCAAAAAAATCACATCCAAAGATGCTAGTGATGAATATATTAACCTTTCTTGAGCTTACAGCAAATAAATCTGTATTATATTTGCCAATGTTCAACATATGAGCCTCTACTAGTACTAGTTCATCTCACAGGGCTGAGCTTACCAAACAAGATTTAGCTGGGTGTCAGTGGCTCACTCCTGTAATCCTAGCTACTCAGGAGACTTACATTGAGGATCTCAGTTTGAAGCAAGCCAGAGCAGGAAAGTCCTTGAAACTCTTATCTCCAATAAACTACTAAAAAGTAGAGCTGTGGCTCAAGTGGTAGAGCACTAGTCTTGAGGAAAAAAGGCTCAAGGAAAGTGCCCAAGCCCTGAGTTCAAGCCCCAGGAAGCACGAGCGAGGAGAGAGGGAGAGAGAGGGGGGGGGAGATTTTTAAAGAATTGTGACAATTAGTATAGATATACTACTATAATAAAGCAAAAAATATATAATCTCTAATGGAAACTATGGATCTTGACTCATAATTTCTTCCATTTCCTCTTGCTTTCAGACCAACACACAGGAAAAACCGCCCATGATATAACTCCAAAATACAAATAAAACTGTTTTGCCTAATTGCTGCTCTTGTGATCTGCAAAATTTATGAAAAGGCTCTAGATCATTATTTCATAAATCTTTTTTCTACTTCCTCATTTTATTTCTCTATCTTTTTATTCATGTTCTCTCTCTTCTTATACCCCATTCTGCTTACTTCTCTAGGAAGTAAAAACAAATCAAACCTCAGAGTCCAATACCTTAGTAACATAGTTCAGAATGGATACTCCTCTCTTACACAATCCACCACCTTTTCCCCTTTGCAGGACAATACAGAACTGCAATATCCCTGAAGAATTTTGCAATATTCCTGAAGAATTTTGCACTTCTCTTTATATAACCTTACATTATAAATATTATTCCCCTATGCAAATGTTAAGACGTGAAGCTGTCAAAGATTTTCACAATTGACTTTTTAAAAATAAAAAGTTCTTGTAGGGCATTTAATGTTATTCTATTTACCCATTAAAATATATTTTATAAAGGTTCACAAACCTAAAAACTTATACCAAGAAAATAATGTTTCAGCACTAGCACTTTCTACTTCTTTGTCCATTTATTCTGTCAAAGATTTTTCTAGCCCTCTTTGACAAAACATTTAACCAGTTTTTAGCATTCAATTGTCACTGACATAGTTAACTCCATGATTACACTACAAACTAGTATTCTTGTAACTTTCCTCATGCAAAGTACAATAGGTTCCAAATAGTTTCTTTACTACAAGACCAAAACAACACAACAACCTATTTAAAATTTACTCTTACAGAAACAACTAAGAAAAACAAGAAACATACTAAAAGAAAACTGTGCTTTGCCTATTGTTTTGACACTAGAGGTCTTTTCAACTCCTCTGCTATATACACTGACAGGACACCTTGAACAAATACTTCAGATGCACATACAACAAATAAAATTTTTGGATTTTAAAAAGACACTAGAGAATAAGCCAAAACACTTAAGAAGGGCCATCATTAAATATGGAAGAAACAGACAACACCAGCAGCTCTGTGACAATAAATCAAAGAGTTCAATATAACAAGTTCTATTTTTTGTACCACTTCTAAGTATTGTTTTTCAATCTTAAAATAGAGAATGGGGGCAACTGTCAAAAAAACCATTTTATTAAATTACAGCCAGCTAAAAACCCTTATTAATATCAATGTTCAACATCTACTTATAAGAACAAGAATCTGAAGCCTAACTCCAAGAATTACTCTAGGTTTTACTATATTAATGTATTAATACTTGCAAACAGTAAAAGCCAAAAAGCCTTAAAAATAGAATTAAATACAAACGAATTTAACCAAAACCAAAGTATCAACTGTATAAAAGTCAAAACAAAAGTATGTATCCTTTTGGACAAATATCCCATTCTTTCTGCCTTCATTACTCAAAATTCCTGTCTGCTTATAATTGCTGAATGGAAATAAACTTACTGACTGACCAATATTCCTCCTCCTTTTTGGTCCTCTAATAGGCCAGAGCCCATTACAAATCAAAACCAAACCAAACCAAATATAACAGCAAAAAATTTTCAATCCCCAGCCAATTGCTCTGTTTATCTCAAGAATTATTTGATATATCATATCCTTAAAAAACCAAGGGATTTTGGACAACCTGAATACATTATAAGGGACTGATACCATAATAAACCACAACAGGTGAGCAGGAAAAATGCAGACAAGAAATGTGCCATTCTTCAACAGAAATACAAAAATTCTAATAGTTCATCTATACTACCTTCCTTCTGCCTTGACAAACTTACCATAGCCATCATGTCTAAACGAAGAAGGGTGTTCTCCCAAAATGGCTTGTCTCTGGCGACCCTTTCCTCTATCTGACACAAAAGTAGAAACATGGTTTTAACAATTTTGACTCAAATACTTAACAGAGTTCTCACATGGGAAACACCCATTCAAAACATCCATTATACTTCATAAAAGAAATAGGACTCCTGTTAGCTTTAAACATCCATTCATGTCCAATTTAAATACAAACACCAAAAGTTTAAGAAAATAATTCTATCTAACAAGTTCCACTTAACTTGAAAATATCTTTTTGGCAAATGTCAAATACAATCACACTTTCAAAATTAAGAGAATAGATAACTTTGCAGAAAGTGAATGTACACAATGCTAGAGTTTGACACTGTACACAAGTTTTTACCAATACATGTCTTTAAAACAAGCTTTTAAGTGCAGTACTTTTGAAAGACAGTACCTGAATCATACTATTAGCTTCAACAGCAACACATTTTCAAAGTGGGCTTCTTTCAAGAAGTTTCAGCATAAGCCAACAACAACCTGTATTACATGGTTTCACAATCAGTAAACACAGAGTATTTTATATGTATATACACATATTTACAAACACCTACTGACTTGAGAGCTGAAATTTTGCACATCACTGGCTCATATTATGTTGTAGACAGGTCACTGTCTATAGACCTTAACATCAGGCAGAACTATGAGCAACCCCCAACGTTTAAATATGCCAAGATAAATATGCTAACCAAGGGGGCTACATTATTGGATGAAAATACTACAATACTCTAAAGGTATTTTTTATTCTAGCTATGTTTCCAAGAAAGACATGTCAATTTTCCCACGTCTTGAGACATCAATAACAGGCTTCTAAAATATTACTTCCTATGTTGGTTAGTAAGTTTTTTTTAAAAAAGAATATACTTTTAAAAGTTTGTTGATCAAATAATACTGTCCAATAATATTTTTTGCATATGTATCTGAAGACTCTAATCATTCTAATCTTTGAAAATTCAGAGGTAGTCTTTCTGTTAGTCCTTAGTCACCTAAACAAATAAGGTTTATGGAAGATGAGAAATACTTTTAACTTTCACTTCAGTCTAGAAAAGTATAGCTTTAATTAATTATTCTAAGTATCCAAAAGGAATAAGGAGATCATCTAGTTCAACTTCCATTCAAAAACTCATTATCCCTACTAATTAGTCTCTACATACCCAATACTTGGAACAAGAACCTATCTTAACATTTTCAGATATCTCTTAATTTTAAGAAAATGTTTATAATCATAGAAACTGACTTGCACCCACATTACAATTCATTTGGAGCCTCATACACTTAGTATTTGAAAACTTTTCCAAATACTTGGTAAGTTAATATGACCCTTCCCCCACTTTCCCAAAGTCACTGCATCTGTAGTTTATGCTGTTCCTTTTTGGTTTTTTTTCATATATGGCATTCAACATCTCTCATCATTTAAGTCTCAATCTTCTTGAATCAATTCAGCCTGCTAATCCCTTCTGTCACTGCTCCTCTGCTTTAGCACAAGCCACCAAACATTGAATGTTTTATCTGTTTCTAGAAATCTTAAAACTAAAACCACAATTTCATGGCTCAATTTTACTGATACAGTCAACAGTGCTATAAAGGAAAACAGAACTATGTTGGGAAATCAGATGATTCTAATTTAATCACTAACTTGCTGCATAGACACAAAAACACAATCTTCATTCATAAAATGAAGAGCAGATTTCCAAGGTATCTTTCAGCCACTCACTCTCATTACTATTAATTTATATGAAACATTCACTATCTAATATATGGTCACATAAGCAAAGTGAACAGAACGATCACTGAATATTTCCATCTGTAAACAGTGGTTTGCAAGCTATCACAGATTCAACTAATATCTGATTAAGCTATGCAATTTGTTTAAAAAAAAAGGTACACATATATAATATTTAACTTTTGTTTAACACTTTTGGAAGCTTCCTGGAGATCAAGTAAGGATTCTTTGCAGTAAAATGTAATCATATCTTCATATCTAAAGGACTTTTGAAAATAAAATTATGCTTTTTAAAATCCTATTTTTCTCATAGAAAAAGATACATGAAGGTTTTATTTGGGCATTGCAGACAACTTTAATTATCAACTTGACTTCAAGTTAAGATCACTTCAAAAACAAAAACAAACTCCTAGTCTTGTCAGAAAAATCATCTGTGAACAACTATTTTACTTCAATTATATTATTTAACAACCTATCGTGCATATTTCTAAACAGATTTCACCAGAATTGTATGAAAAACTAATCTAGCTTTGTGTTATATTCACAACTTTTTCTGAACATGTTAACATTTAAAATCTAATCTATAAATGTCTTAAGATATTAAGAAAAATGCAACTAAAACTCACTACTTTAAATGAATGAACAAAACCCCAAACAAGTGTTTAAAACTGACAGAAGTGAGAGATTTCTCATCAACCACTTGTCCTGTTGTTGTTTGAGTGCTAAGGTTTTGTTTTCCAATAATGGATTCAACTGTACAAAGTCTAAACTAAACAAATTTCCATTGAGTAGTAAAAATTTAGGGGTCTAGCCAAAGCTGTAGTACAAAACAAACTTATTTACAGCCTTAGGCAAATTACAAGATGATTTTCTGGAAATTGAGTTAAAGAAGCCAATCATCCTAAAGTCATTAATATTTTAACATACTAGGGACCAATACATTTTCTTTTTATTTTTATTTTGATGTATGTATATGTACTAGATTAACTATGGCCCAAGATACTCTGGATGTCACAAATTATTTTTCTAGTTGAATTTACCTACTCAAGTTTTTCCAACATGGGTTCAAATACTGATATTGTAGTTGGGATGTAGCCAATACTGCAGCCCCCTTGTTTTTACAAGATCCGCATTTTAATTTGTATATTCCAGAATTGCCACACAGTTAGTTGAACAATTTTTATCACTCAAATCTACGCTTATTAAATTTAGCATTTATAGGATTATATGTGAAAGTGCATCTCAAATGAAATGCTTACTTTCAGATTTATCATGTTTAAATATATTCTACCATGAACAAACATGTTACTTTCACCTATATTTAAAATACCAAATTTTCTAGTTACACAAACATTAAGTAGTAACTTTAAATTATTACAGAAAGTGACAACTTATAAACAGCCACTTTACAAAAATCAAACCACACAGAAAAAAAATCTTTTACATATAATACACTTTTTTCAATGTTAGAATTTCTGCTCAAGGTTAATAATTGAGGGGGGAAAAGTAAACTTAAGTGCATCAAGCATGCACCTTCTTTTTTGAGGGGAGAGTGTTGCTGAGAATCACATAATCTTGTGCATGCTAAGCATGCTCTACCACTGAGCTATACCCCAGCGAAATATACATCTTTCTAATCCACATATCCTTAGTATTTGTGTGGATTGGTTAAGCATTGTCAATTCCCAAGACCTATAAATAAATAATTGACCTTGGTTATTTTTCAATTAACAATTTGACTCTAAGCTGAAAACAGTTACAGTAATGGGCATTAACATTGTAAATAAACCCTAGTTTCCGTTAGTGAAGACTTAAATTCTACAACTGAAACTTTAAGGGAAATCAGACCAATATATACATACATATATAAATGGGCACAGTCTATCATGGTGTTCATCCCATGCAAGTCTGAAGTACTGTTAAAGTGTCCTCCTTTGAAAACGTGGGGTGGTGGTGCATGCAGTATGCAGTCAAGGTGAATTGCAAGTCTGAGTTTTTCAGAGGGCTTTTTGCTGATGCCGATGTTGTGCATGATGAAGTGTAGAGTCAGCCTGCTGGAGTCCTCTATCCTTCTTAATGCCTCGTCCAGCTTGGGGGGAAAGTCCTTTCCATGGAGAAGCAGTGTGCAAGTTTGCAGTTTGTAAGGAATATTCTGAAATCAGTTTCCTCTCCTCCAAAGAGAGAGAGCTGCTTGGAGAAATGCAAGTCCTTGAACTGCGCGCGTGCCTGTATGTGTGGGCACTTGTTGAACTAAATATAAATAGCTCAATACACACCAGTAGGGGGCACTAATGTTCAAGGTTATTTCCAGCATACATGGCCTTTTGTAATAAAAGCATTCACCAACAAGATTTTCATTTGAATTAACTAGCCCATTTCAGAAAAAAGAAACCTAAATTTTTGTTAAAAAAAAAAATCTCAGCAGATGTAAGTACATTCTAAAATGTACAAAATACCTACCTCGTCTTCCCAAATATGGTTTAGTGTAGTCCCAACTGTCATTGTCATTCCTAATAACATTTAGACGAGTTGGCTGTTAAAATTGAAAATAAAGTAAGTTCAAATTATATACTTGAAGTATAAATATTTAATAAAGTATTGAAAAATAGTATTTACCCTTGCATATTCAATTTTTAGTGTGCAACATCCAGCATATATATCTGCTCCATTGAGTGCCGCCTTAGCTTTCTGAGCACAAAGGACTGATTCAAACATAAACTCTATTAAGGAAATGTAGTTTAAAGTATCCAATGTTTAATCATTTTTCAATTTCAAAGGATTAAAAATACTTCTGAAATGTTTTATCACATAAAATTTCACACAAATATATGTGTGTGTGTATACACACACACACACACACACACACACACAAATATTTCTTCATTTTTGGTGGTAGTAGTACTAACAAGGGGTGTGAACTCAGGACCCTCTTCTGCTAGGCAGGTATTTTTCCACTTGGGCCATACACCAGCCTTTTTGGTTTTCATTCTTTTTGAAAAGTCTCCTATTGATGCCCAGGACTGGCCTAGGCTGCAATCATCCTCCTCCTCCTACAGCTTAAACAACGGAGGCATGCCACCTTCTCCATTTGTCATTGTTTAAAATTGAGTATTTGTTAACTTTTTGCCCAGGCTGGCCTCAAGTCTCCCAATCTTCATCATCCCAACTATCTAGAAATACAGCCATGAACTACCACATCGGCTGAAGAATTTGTATTTAAGTTCAAGGGTACAAAAGAAAGCATAATACAACCAAACTGCCTACAATTTATCCTTCTAAGTCATAAGTACTATAAATTGGGGAATGAACAGGACAATGAAGCCTAGTTTTATTTCCTAGCAACCTACAAATTACAACAAAAAACCTTAAACCAAAATAAATACTTGATTTTTATATATTTCTTCTGAGCTGCAACAGTATTATATAATCACTTCGCTATCATAATTTTATTGTTTTTTAAATGACTTCAAGGCCAGGTGCAGTGGCTCACACATGTAATCCCATGTAAACCCAGCTACTCAGAAGGTGGGTAAAAAAATTAGCAAAACCTCATCTCATTCAACAAAGCCAGGAAGTGGTGATGCAACCTGTGATTCCCAGCTACTGAAAGGTGTAAGAAGGAGGCTGGCAGTCTAAGCCCACCCTGGACAAAAACCACAAGATCTTACCCAAAAAATAACCTAAAGTAAAAGAGCTGAAAGCATGGCTTAAGTCGCAAAACATTTACCTAACAAGCAGAAGGCCTAGGTTCAAAAACCACCAAAAAAACCAAAAAAGTCAATCTTAAAAAGTAAATAAAACCACTCCAAGTGTATAAAATAATAAAACTAAAAACAAAACATCTTACTAGAAGCAAGCACTGTTAAGGTTTACAATGAATCTCTACCTTTTTCTATATGTGCCCATATAGGTTAGTTTTTTAAAACTCTATCTTTTAAAAATGTGCTTTGTATTATGTATACAATTATATATAATATATATTATATATACACATATGATTTTGTAACTTGCTTTTTATCCAACATATTAACAAATTTAACAAATTTAACATAGCTTTTAAAAAGCAGATCTTACATTAATAATTTTAAAAAGCCAATAAAGATAAAGTTTTGCTACTTTTATACTATTTCAAGAAGAGTAAGAGAAGGTCATTTGGGTTAAACCGTAAAAATGCATGTGTACATGTTATGAAATAGTGTTACTTCACACTGGGTAGGATGAAGTACAGGGCTGTTGCATGATACCAAGTTATTCTTAACAAACAGTAACAACATCCTCTATGGGTACTGCAGGTTTTTTGTTTTTGTTTTTTGGTCAGTTGTGGGACTTGAACTCTGGGCTTGGGCGCTATCCCTCAGCTCTTCAGCTCAAAGTAAGCCCTCTACCTCTTGAGCCACAACACCACTTCCAGTTTTCTAGTGGTTTAGTGGAGATAAGAGTCTCACAGACTTTCCTGCCCAGGCTGGCTTTGAACCGTGATCCTCAGATCTCAGCCTCCTGAGTAACTAGGATTACAGGCGTGAGCCACCAGTGCCCAGCTCAGTTTCATTTTTTAAATCTATACCAACTAGATTGTTGAGGGAGGAAAAAGTGTCACTTGTCTAAAAATGGCTAAATAAAAAATGTTAGACTGCATTCATAGACATAATAAATTTACATATAAAGGATATTCAACCATTGCCTGTATCCCATTTCTCTTGAATATAACAATGCGTTGTACTTTTCCAACAGGGTTGCAAACAGTATATAACACATCCTAGAAGGAAAAAACAAAATTTTTCACGTTACATTTAGAACATTAAAACTATACTCCATTTTGTCTAAAATTTGACAATGTTTAAGACATTCCCATTTTTTTTAGTCTGTGGTATTAAGGATCAAACCCTCGGGGCTTCAAACATGCTAGGAAGGCATTCTACCACTGAATTATGCTAAATCAAGCTAAAAAATTAGTTTTAAGACCTTTTAATATGTCTCAATTTTTTCCTCACCTACACAATATATCAACATTAGATAAGTTCCAATGAAACATTTGAGAAGCACTTTAATAAAAATTCTATTCATATAACTTTGTGAAAGGACAAAGTAGCAGGGAAATATAAGTAAATAAGCTTTTAAATAAGCTACCTCAAGACAGATTATGAGCTGGGCATTGATGGCTCACATCTGTGATTCTAATGACTCAGGAGGCTGAGATCTAAGGATCAAAGTTCAAAGCCAGCCAGGGCAGAAAAACCTGTGAGACCCTCATCTCCAATTAACCACCACCACCCCACAGCACCACCCCCATGCCCACAAAAAAAAAAAAAAAAAGCAAAAAGTAGAGCTATGGTTCAAGTGGTAGAGCTCTAGTCTTGAGCACAAAAGCCTCAGGAGCAGCATCCAGACCCTGAGTTCAAACCCCAAGACCAGAACCAACAATTAAAAAAAAAAAAAGGCTATGATATATGTATCTTAATGCACTATGGAATCATTACTTAATTGATGCTTACATACATAGTTGGTATATTAACAAATGATATTCCTAAACTATTTCTAACAAGTCTGGTTTATAATTCCTTATTATCAGAAAAAGGAATAGATAATTTTAAAAATTCTAATGAACCTACTTAATGACAACTGTGTTCTTTTATTTTAGTGCTCATGATTTCTTGTTCATTAAACTTAGTAGTCAAAATTAAGATGTTTTTTTTTGTCAGTCATGGGATTTGAACTCTGGGCCAAGGTGCTGTCTCTCAGCTCTTCAGCTCAGTGCAAGTACTCTACCACTTGAGCCACAGCACCACTTCTGGTTTTCTGGTGGTTTATTGGAGATAAGAGTCTCACAGACTTTCCTGTCCCAGCTGGCTTTGAACCTCAATCCTCAGATCTCAGCCTCCTGAGTAGCTAGGATTACAGGCATGAGCCACAGGCAACAAGCTCAAAGTTAAGATTTTTAATATTTTTTTAAGTATTTAAAAACAGTTGGCAGATTTTTAAAAAACAAGCTGGTTACTCTAGATATAGTTTGTCATAATAAAATACATACCACTGTGATCGGATAAAGAGGATTCTGAATTGACAGCAGGAGAACTTTGTTGCCTCCTGATGGATCATCAGTATTTCCTGGCCGAGTGATCCTTTTACTTGTAGAGTAGTTGAAAAAAGCCTGTTGACCAGCAATGTATACAGGCTCTTCTGCAGCAAATGTCACACATTCTTTGGCACTATCTATGTTTTCAAATTCTACTAGAGCCTGTCGTTTAAATGGCATCATCATGACATAGCTGAAAAGGGAATATCCAACATAACAAGTTCAATTAACATTACTGATTCTCAATCAAGTAAAAGCAGACTTTAATTTTAAAAAAATCAAGTCATACAGATGAATTTACTATTGTCCAATGTAAATCAATTCCTAATCATCCAAATAAATTGTAGGAGATCAGGTAGATTGTCCACATATGAAGTTTAGTGACCCACGATTGCTAGCTTATCCATTTCATACTCTCTTCTAACATAATTCCTTGTTATCAGTTACTAATGATACACCACCTAGTTTGTTCTTCTGCTAATATATAGAAATCACTTGAGATAATCTTCACATAAGGCTGGAAAACAAAAGCCCTAAACAGCCCAAACTACCCTATTTTTCTTAAACTTTCCAAATACATGCCCACAACAATATCTAAGAACTGATTATACTTAATTCTCTCTCCTCTCTCCCCCTCTTTTCTCATTGCCCTCCTCTATCTTTCTCTCTCTCTCTCTCTCTCTCTCTCTCTCTCATCAGTTGTGGGGCTTGAATTCAAGGCCTGGACACTGTCCCTGAGCTTTTCTGCTTAAGGCTAGTGCTCATCACTTGAGCCACTAGGTTTTTTTGGTGATTAATTGGAGATAAGAGTTTCACAGACTTTCCTGCCCAGGTTGCCTTCAAACCACAATCCTCAGACCTCAGCCTCCAGAGTAGCTAAGATTACAAGTGTAAGCTACCAGAGCCTGGTACTTTTAATTACCTTATCAAAAACACAGAACCAAAAGATAAATAAAAGCAACCAAAGACTGTCCAAAGTTCATATAATCTCTAAAGTACTTTTTCTTTTTTGGAGACAGTCTCAATATGTATCATAGACAAGCTCAAACCAGTGATCCTCCTGCCTCAGCCTCCTAAATGCCATATTTAAAGAAATTTAAAAAAAAAAACTCCCCAGGCATGAGCCACCTGTACTTGGCTCAAAATACTTTCAAAGAACCCATGAAAAGATACAAAGAGAGCCGGGCGCTGGTGGCTCACGCCTGTAATCCTAGCTACTCAGGAGGCTGAGATCTGAGGATCGAGGTTCAAAGCCAGCCCAGGCAGGAGAGACCGTGAGACTCCTATCTCCAATAAAACACCAGAAAAACGGAAGTGGCGCTGTAGCTCAAGTGGTAGAGCACTGCCTTGAGCTGAAGAGCTGAGGGACAGCGCCCAGGCACAGAGTTCAAGCCCCACGACCGACAAAAAAAAGATACAAAGATATCCACTGTAATCATGACTGCCTTTGGGCAGAAGGGTGAGGTGTTTACTTTTCATAATATATTCTCTTAAATAAAAGGTATCCTAATACAAAAGTGAACAATAAAGAAATGGAGCAAAAGAAAAACCAACAGTATATAGCTCGAAACTGAGAAAACATGTTCTCAATTCACTGTAACAAGAACCTTAGTAATGACTAAAAACACAATCAACATGCTTGTTCTAAGATTAAGCCAAAGGAATCACATCAAGTCAGATAATCAGTGCTTCATAATCAAGATCTACTTTTTTATTTCAGCAGTTGAAAATGGTAAAGTACTAATAAGAAACCAACCACCTTACAGTATAGAAAATTATTATTCTAATACATTTTAGCTTCCTTTTTTTTTGGCCAGTTCTGGGGCCTGAGCTCTATCCCTGGGCCTCTCTGTGCTCAAGGCTAGCACTCTACCACTTGAACCACAGCTCCACTTCCAGCTTTTTCTGAGTAGTTTATTAGAGAGAAGAGTTTCACATACTTTTCTGCCAGGGCTGGCTTCAAACCACCATCTTCAGCACAAGCCCCAGTACCAGCACACAAAAAAATTTGAGTCATAGGGCATGACTCAAATGGTAGAGTACTTACCTAGTGACCTCAAGGCCCCAAAACCATATATTCATAAAATATCAAGAATCCCTAAATGTACTAGAGGAAGGATAAACCAGACATGTCATCTCATTATGACTCCACAAGTCAAGATACCACTTAGAAGATCTTCACAGAATGGAGTTAGTCTCACACTAATATGTAAGGATTAAAGAGTTGCTTAATATAAATATATTACTCTCCAAGACCTAACTTTCAAAGACTTTCACTCCAAATGATAGAGACCTGTGAGTCACCTTAGTGTTATTTCAACATATGGGCCTTACCAAGTTCATAAGGCTTTTAATTAACACCCTTAAGGATACACAATCTCAACACAAGTATTTTTTCAAGTGTGTGAGCATTAAAGGTCTGCCAAGTCATCCACCACTTAATGAGGTCACCAAAGAAAGTAATAAAATGGCCAGGTGCCGGTGACCCACACCTGTAATCCTAGCTACTCAGGAGGCTGAGATCTAAGGATAGCGGTTCAAAGTCAGCCTGTGCATGCTAGGCAAGCTCTCTACCACTAAGCCACATTACCAGCCCCAACACTCCAACTTTTTATAAAATATTTTATAAAATATTTTCAACTACAAAATATTATCAACTACATTTTATTTCCTATTTACACATTTCAGTTTAGAGTGCCTAGAGATCTCAACGGCCCCCAAAACCACCACCAAAAAAAAATTATAAATCGTTGCAATTCGTTTAAAAAAATCTCTAAATGGGCTGGGAAGGTGGCTCAGTGGTAGAGCGCTTGCCTTGCATGCCTGAGGCCCTGGGTTCGATTCCTCAAAACCACATAAGCAAAAAGAAAATAGCCAGAAGTGGTGCTATAGCTCAAGTGGTAGAGCGCTAGCCTTGAGCTGAAGAGCTGAGGGACAGCGCCCAGGCCCAGAGTTCAGGCCCCACGACCGGACCCCTCAAAAAAAAAAATCTCTAAATGTACTAGAGAAAAAATAAAGTAGACACGTCATCTCATTATAACTCCATAGGACAAGGCACCGCTTATTTACTATTAGAAGGCCCTTGAAGAATGGAGTTACTCTTGTGCTAATTCGTAAGATGCCTGTAACAAAAGTATTCATCGAAAAATATAAAACTCAATTCTAGATTATCCATAGTAAGAAGAAAACAACAGACACACTATAAAACTAATTTAGAATTTTTGGGTAGCTACCTTGAGCAGCATATTCACTTACTATGACTTCACTTACAATTTTCACAAACTTGTTACAGAGTAATAGTTCATAGACCCTCAAAAATAAACCTATACATCATCTTAGGAAGGTCAAAAATAACAAGCACTGTGGAGCTATAACAAGCTGTGACAGCTCTGAGGCCTGAGTTCAAGCCCCACTATTCCCCCTCTCCAAAAAAACAAAAACACCAAGCAGTGACATAGCACTTGCCTAGCATTTCAAGGGCTTTGGTTCAAGCCACAGCACTGAAGAAAATAAAAATAAGCATATAAGATTCCAAAGATAGCATATGCCTGCAATCCCAGCACTAAAAAGGCTGAAATAGGAGAACCAAAAGTTTGAAGCCATGGGAAAGGGGAGGTGGTGGGTACAGAGAAAGAAGCTGTGGGTTAGAGGGGATTGAACTAACGAAAAAGAGGATGAATACAATTGAAAAAGATTGTTTGCAACTATGAAAACAGAACCATAAAATCTGTTGAAATTGTTTTGGCCAAGCTTGAAACAGGAAGAGAGAAAAGGGAAAATAAAAAGGGATAAGATTGATTGGAATACATTGTAAATATGTGCAGAAATGTAACAATAGCTAATGTAAGCTTTTAAAAAAAAAAAAAAAGTTTAGCCAGGCATCAGTGGCTCAAGACGGAAATCCTAGCTACTCAGGAGGTTGAGATCTGCGGATCGTGGTTCAAAGCCAGCCCAGACAGAATAGTCTGTGAGATTCTTCTCTCCAATAAAGTACTCAGAAAAATCCAGAAGTGAAGCTGTGGTTCAAGTGGTAAAGCACTAACCTTGAGCAAAAGCAGCTCAGGGACAGAGCTCAGGCCCAGAGTTCAAGGCCTAGGACCGGCAAAAAAAGAAAAAAAAAAAGAAATTTTTAAAAATATGATGCCAGCTTTTGCTATTATATATAGCAAATTCTAGGACAGCTTGAGCTACATAGCAAGACTCTTGTCTCAAAACTGAAAAAATATTTTTCTTAAGAGATACATTCACAGGCAAACTTTACACATACAATGCTAAGCATCAAGACTTAGATCAATCAAGCAAGGTCTGTCCTATCATTCACTTTCAATTTGCACAAAGTTCCTATTGTCCTTACCATATTGTCCCAAATTTTTCCAGAGCCTCCACAAGGTCTGCTTCCACCACCGATTCGCAGAGCCCCCGAACATGGACAACAGGTGAAACAGAAACTTTATGATGACTTCCACCTGCCTCCTAGCAGAGAGAAGATAATTTCTTGTTCACTTTGAAAGTCTAAAGTGCATCTTTTACCAAATTCAAAAAAAGCAAACATAAAAATTCCCAAACCAAAATCCTACACCATTCAAATTAGCAAACAGACCTAAGAATAAAATCATCAGTGTAATGTTTGGCATGAAAATTTTAATTAAAAAAAGAGCATTCTACCAAAAACAAAAGAAAAGCAGCAAAAAGTATTGAGCAACCACTTAATTTCAAGGAAATCTCAGGAAACAAAAACTTCAACAGATATACAGGCATGCTATGATTAGTAACTAATATTAATATTCATAAATTATAGTTTTTAAGCCAGGCCCCAGAGGCTCAATGCTGTAATCTTAGCTACTCAAGAGGCTGAGATCTCAAGACTGAGGTTAGATACTAGCCCAGGCAGGAAGTCCTTGAGACTCCTATCTCCAATTAAATACCAAAAAAGCTGGAAGTGGAGCTGTGGTTCAAGTGGCAGAGCACTAGCCTTGAGCAAAAAAGGCCAGAGTTCAAGACCCAGGACTGGTGCACACACACACACACACAAGAATCTATTAAAAAAACATTTTTCTCCAATAGACTAATCTAAAAACACAATGTCTTACCATTAAAACAACTGTTTGAGGAAAATTAAGTCTTAGTACGGTTATTTTTAAATAATCACCAATTTTACTTTATTACAAAGGCATTATAACATTTAAATGGGCCGGGCGCTGGTGGCTCACGCCTGTAATCCTACCACTCAGGAGGCTGAGATCTGAGGATCGAGGTTCAAAGCCAGCCCGGGCAGGAGAGACCGTGAGACTCCTATCTCCAATAAACCACCAGAAAACCGGAAGTGGCGCTTTAGCTCAAGTGGTAGAGTGCTGGCCTTGAGCTAAAGAGCTGAGGGACAGCGCCCAGGCCCAGAGTTCAAGCCCCACGGCCAACCAAAAAAAAAAAAAAAAACATTTAAATGGATTACCCTGCCAATATAAATTTATGCCAGATTTCAAAGAAACTGACTTAAATATATAATCACAGTATTGACAAATTGGACTAAATCAATCCTTTGCAAATATTAACTTGATCTCTGAAATACCATTTGAATTGGTATGCTTAAATCTTTTCTATGACTAAACAGCAATTAAATGCCATTGAATGTAATCATACTGACCACATCCTAATTTACCAACACTCTTGAAACAACTCTGAACTATCTAAGTGAAACTCAAATCAAACATGCTTATCATCATTAAATTCTTTGGTTGTTTTCTCTTTGTTTTTGTTTTTTTTGGTCAGTCGTGGGGCCTGAATTCTGAGGAACAGAACCCAGGGCTTCATTCCCAACCCCTAAATTCTTAAATATAACTGGAGAATAGTAACAGGAAGAGATCACTAAATAATACATATTTACAGCATATATTTAATGTATAAATATCAAATTTTACTTTCAAAATAGATAATAAACTATAAGGTATTTAAGACAGTCATTTTAAGCAAATCTTAATAATCTGCTGGCAAATGCAAAATAAAAGGCAACAGAATAGCATCCTGGCCTAGACTCTTCAAGACTCCACAAAAAACTAGTATCAAAATACAGTAAAGTCTCTACATTGATACTACACAACAATCAAATGCAAAAAGTGAGCCTTCATTTTATAATAAAATTATGAAAATGGTAATTGTTATGTGAAAGGATGTCCGTATTCTTAAGAAGGTTGGCATATTTAGAGATAAAGTACGATGTTCACAACTTTCAGATCATTTTGAGGAAAAAAGTACATATGTAAATACAAATATAGAAAGATAAAACTCCAGTCAGTAAAATGTCTGAAAAAAACCACCTACTGAATGTTAAGCATGTATGTAACTGAACATTTTATGTAATAATGTTACAAAATTATTTCATTATATAATACTTAAGACCTACAAGAAGGTATGAAGATCAATATAGAAAATACCTATGGGCCAGGTATCAGTGGCTCATACCTTAGCTACACAAGGGGCTGAGATCTGAGGATCCTGGTTCAAAGCCAGCCCAAGCAGGAAAGCAAAAAGCCCAAAGTGGAGGTGTGGCTCCAGTGGTAGAGCACCAGCCCTGCTGGCTTCAAACCACAATCCTAGATCTCAGCCTCCTGAGTAGCTAGTATTACAGGCATGAGCCAATCATTATCTACACATGAAAATCGAATTATCCTGACATGATCAATATTGTATACAATTTATTGTATACAATTAATAAATATCCCAGAATTATGTACAAGTATTGTTTCATACTATTATGCATCACACTGCACATTGGATTCCCAAACTACTAAATTAGTGTTATTCATCCTTATCTATATGCATCTTAAGACTTTCACATCTTCTCTAGTTTAAGGAGTTATTTCTAACTCATTTCTCACAGAGAAACTTTTTCTTTTCAAATGTTTTGCTATCTACACTCTCTCTAGGTGGACTATATCCCTAACTTACAAGATAGAAACAATATTTCAGGTGTGTATCTAGCAAATAAAAGCATGCTTGCCTACATAAACTATTTCTGAAAATAAATGCCTACATGTGTGTTAATTTTGACTACTACAGATTGAAGACTATTGAGAGAAGCTCAATAATGTACAAATGAAGTATCTGAGAGTAATGAGAATTGCCATTTAACACCTTTCCTAAGCAAAGACAAATTTCAAAGGCTAGACACAAAGTCTTTAATGCTTTTTTGTTTTCCTTACATTTCATGCACAACACATGCTGAACAGCCATTGAATAATTTTCTCTACCTTTTTATAAGATTCCTAAAGACAAACTTCAAATTCAATACAACAGTCCCTGACACCAAATAATCACAGACTCACTGCCAATACCTCCAAATGGCAAGAAATACAGAAATATACTAATTTCATGAGACTGGCATATTTTCAGGAAATTCTTCAAAATCTGCAGCCATTATCTGTCATTTGTAGTTTCCGATTCAAAATGGCTTCTAGAATCAAGACATATCTGAATCTTTGAACAAATACTGACTCAATGATCTTAGGCTACTTATACTTCCTCTTTTTGTGCCTCAGCTTTTGTTAAAAAGAAAATGGATTGGAGGCATAAATCAAGTTGTAAAGCACCAGCCTCTAGAAGCAAGAAAGCAGGGAGCATGATTCCTAAACTCAAATCCGTTTCAGCATACACACATACACACACACACACACACACACACACACACACACACAAAGCTACACTAATTCTCTATCATGAAAGACTGTAATAAATAATAGAAACGTAAACAAAAGCCTTGGTTAACTGTATATATATTCAATATCTATAATCCCAGCACTTGGGAGGCAGAGACACCATCACCAGCCTTTAGCCACATGGTAAGACACTGTTCTCAGAGAAAATAAATCTAAACCTAGCTTTATCACCACGTGGAGGAAAGCAGAACTGAAACAGAAAAGAAAATGAAGTTCCTATGACAAGTTCCTATGACATCATTTAAAAATTTCTGGATCCAACTTTTCTAAAACTAATATCATAACCTAGCTTTTCCAGTTATACAGACCAATAAATTCCCTGTCTTCATTCCCATTTTTTTTGGGGGGAGGGGTTTTTCTTAATTTTTTTTTTTGTCAGTTGTGGGCTTGAATTCTGGGTCTGGGCGCTGTCCCTCAGCTCTTCAGGTCAAGGCTAGCATTCTACCACTTAAGCCACAGCACCACTTCTGGTTTTATGGTGGTTAATTGGAGATATGAGTATTGCAGACGATCCTGCCCAGACTGGCTTTGAAATGTGGTCCTCAGATCTCAGCCTCCTGAGTAGCCATTTTTTGTGTTTTTTTGTTTTTTTAAGCTCATCCAAGTTGTTGCTGTGGCTATAACAAGCCTTGAAAATTAAATTCAATTTCACAGAGCAAAAAAGGTAATAAATGATGTAGAATCATAGATCTCTAGATATGGAAAATTTTTTTCTACTATTATATCCCCTATCACTGAGAACAGAACCTGACACAAGGTAGGAGCTCTCAATTACCTTTCTCCCTCCCCTCTCAACCCCCCAATCCTGGGGCTTGAACTAAGGGCCTGGGTGCTGTCCCTGAGCCTCTTTGTGCTCAAAGCTATCACTCTATCACTTGAGCCACAGCTCTACTTCTGGCTTTTTCTGCACATTTATTGGAGATAAGTCTCGTGGTCATTTTTGCCCTTCAATCATAATCCTAAAATCTCAGCCTCCTGAGTAGCTAGAATTAAAGGCCTGAGCCACCAGCACCGGCTTTTTTTTCTTGTCAGTCATGAGGCTTGAACTCAGGCCCTGAGCGCCGTCCCTGCTCTACCACTTCAAGCCACAGTGCTACTTCCAGTGTTCTGGTTAATTGGAAATAAAGAGTATCCCAGGCTTTCCTGCCCCATCTGGCTCTGAAACACAATCTTCAGATCTCACAGTACTAGATCTTGAACTTAGGACCTCACACTTGGAGCCACATGCTCAGTTCTTTTAGCTTGTTTTTCAGATAGGATCACACTTTGGTCCTTGCTAGCCTCGGAGGCCTCCCAAATCAGTAGACAAAAGGCATGTAAAATCATACCCGCTTGTTTATGAGACCAAATCTCACTTTTACCAAGACTACGCTGGAACCACAATCCTCTAATCTCCACCTCCTGAGTAGCTTAATAATGAAGATTTGTTCAACAATGAGGCTTGGTGAATCTAAATCCTGCCTGTTTTTGCTCTTTGAAAAATATGAACCAAGCTGGGCACCGGTAGCTCACGCCTGTATTCCAAGCTACTCAGGAGGCTGAGATCTGAGGATCACGGTTCAAAGCCAGCCCCGACAGGAAAGTCCGTGAGACTTATCTCCAATAAAAACCACTAGAAAACCAGAAGTGGCGCTGTGGCTCAAGCAGTAGAGCGCTCGCCTTGAGCTGAAGAGCACAGGGACAGCACCCAGAGTTCAAGCCCCACAACTGACCAAAAAAAAAGAAAAAGAAAAATATGAACCAGAAGATACAGAAATCTCAAGAACGTCTTTTTCTTCTATCTAAAACATTCTCACTTCCTTTTACATCTTCAAACAGCAAGATCATTCATAATGATCTAATTCATCTTTCTGGTTTTTGCTCTGCTTTTTTATTATTGTGAAAATATCGTAGAGAGAGGTTACAATTACATGGACAATGTAATGAGTACATTTCTTAACAAGCATTTGTTGCCTCCTCCTTTGTTTCCCCTTTTTGCTCTGCTCTTTAAGCCTAGTTTTATTAAACGTAGTTTTTATTAAAGTACTAGCAGAAACTTAATTATGAAATGCTAAACAATGGAACCTTTGAGGTTTCAGTTTGCAAAGTTCCAATCAGATTTGAAAAGATTGTCATTCATTGTAACTAATTTGAACTCATTCTAACAGTCTGACTTCAAAAGTATTTCTTCTCTGAGCTGAAGATCACTAAGGTTGGGCCATACTTTTCAGCTAGAAAAATTACCAAATTTCTGCATGACGAAGCACTAGATCAGAGGTAGGGAATGTCTGTCACATTCAATCTTCTGGTATGTATTAAGACAGACATTTAGGCTTCTTGTTATCTGCCCGTTGCCTGCACTAATAAAATTTTGTTTGGACTTTGAATAATGTTAGAAATACCCAAATTGGGGGGGGGAAGGGGGGGAGAAGGGTTGGGATTGGGGGGGAGGGGGGAGGCTGGGAAGGGATGTGAAGGGTAAACCAAAGGAGGAGGCTGCAATGCTTGGTAATAAATGTACGCATTATCCTGCCCATGTAATTGTAACCCCTCTGTACAGTATGTTCACAAATAAAAAATAAATAAATTAAAAAAAAAGAAATACCCAAATAGCCCTATCCCTGCTGAGAGAGTAAACTTCTATCCAAGGAATATCTACCTCTAATAATACAATTTTATTATTTGCAAGTTTCCACAGTTGCAAGATTTCAAAACAATACCAAAAGTTTGAAAGGAAAAAATATTCTTGAAATAGGAAAAATAAGATTTCATAACTAAATATCAGTTCTACTATTAAATTTATAATGTGCAGGGAAGCAGTGCTGAGGATCAAACCCAGGGCTCGGCTTCACGCTTGCTAAACACAAATCAAACCAAGCAAGCATTCCTCCAGTCCCATTATATTGTTCATGAAAAAGCAACTCATTTTTTCCTAAAAAATATAGCAGCAATAAAAACAAAAACTAGAATTCATATCTAATCTTCATACATTACTTCCTATCTTCCTAACTCAAAAGTGTCATGTTGATTACTTCAAGTAAGACCTCCTATTTTACAGACTAAAAGAACTCGTGTAGTAGTTAAAAGACTAGTTGCCTAGTACTAGCTATCTTAGAGGTAGAAAAAGTCACTTTTTAAAATGAGGTCTAGGGCCAAGAAGGTGGCTCAGTGGTAGTGCTTGCCTAGCACACATGAAGCCTTGGATTCGAGCCCTCAGCACCACATACACAGAAAAAGGCAGAAGTGGAGCTGTGGCTCGAGTGGTGGAGTGCTAGGTTTGAGCAAAGAAAGCTCAGAGACAGTGGCCAGGCCCTCAGTTCAAGCCCCAGGATGGGAGAAGAAGAAGGAGGAGGAGGAGGAGGAGAAGCAGGAAGGGGGAGAGGGG